TTTTTTTCTAAAGAACTCAAATCTTCATGCAGAGCTGAAGATTAGGTCTTACAGTAAAAAGCTGTGTGTAACTGCAGCTGCTTTTGAAGGGTATCTGTGAGTGGGTGGCATTTTAAATACAGAGTAGACCTGGAGGCCATTTGCTCTGTGATCTTTGAAAGTGTTTTCACTTACTGAAGGGCCTTTTAAAATAGAGGCTGATATTGCAGTCCAAGTCTTCAAAGTTTCAATATCGTGTGTAATTTCAACCTGTATATGGACAAAACTTAATTCTAATCACATCTTTGTAGGTATTTTGCCTCGTAGCTGGTCTCATTACACAGTGCCAGCTGGCATGACTGTTATCCAGTGGGTGTCTGACTTCAGTGAGCGCATTAAACAGCTCCAGAATATTTCCCAGGCAGCTGCATCTGGTGGAGCAAAAGAACTGAAGGTACCTTGTGCTGACTTCTCGGGGTTATTGGTGGAGCTGTGTAACTGCTTTCTGGAGTCTTCACATCAGGACTTCTAAATAGCCTCTCAGTCAATGAACTTCAGTCAGTTCTCTGAAATGTCTGTAAATACTGCTGAGCATCTCCTGATCACAGCATGATGAGGCTTAGCAGAGTAACTGTGCACAGAGATCAGAGGGAGCATTAGTATTGTGGAACAGTGAGAGACAAAGCCTTAGAGCAAAAAGCATCTTAGCAGTTACACTGTGTTCCAGTAGCAGCAGGAACATTTTAATGTAAATAGATTGCTGAAGAATTTGTAATAGTCATTAATACTGCAGCTGAAATACTTTCTTTTCCCTATATTTTCCCCCCTTAAATAGAACATCCATGTGTGCCTGGGTGGCCTGTTTGTACCAGAGGCATATATTACTGCTACAAGACAATATGTTGCCCAGGCAAACAGTTGGTCCCTTGAAGAACTCTGTCTTGAGGTCAATGTTACAACTACCCAGAATGCAGTCCTGGATGCCTGCAGCTTTGGAGTCACAGGTAAACTGAGCTGAAGGACGGGACCTTCCTCTGAAATGTTTTCAGAAGCTTCTGGTATTGAATGGGCTGTGTCAAATGAAAAAGATGCTGTTGTTGAAAAAGTTAATACATGCTTTCTGAAAGTATTTTCAGATTAGTTTGACATTAGTTATTAGGGAAGTACTTCCAATGCTAATTAATCTCAAGACAAGGGTCAGTATATATTGAAATGGTATTGCATAGTGTATCACCTACAACCTCTTCATTTTGCAGTATGAAATACTTCTCATTTAGTGGACTTAGCCCTTAAATGATACAGAGGGAGACAGCCTTTGGATGTATGAAAGCTCTTAGAACTCTAAACTGCATTGCAATTTGCAGGCCTGAAGCTTCAGGGAGCTACATGCAGTAACAACAAGCTGTCGCTTTCGAATGCTATTTCAACTGTCCTGCCCATTACACAGCTTCGCTGGATCAAGCAGACAAATGCTGATAAAAAAGCAAATGTTGTAAGTATTGATGAAAATATTTAGATATCCTTAGCAATTCTTTCCTAAGGCTTCATGGATACTTGTACCGGACACACCAAATCAAATTGGTGTTCTCTAATTACTCTTGGTGTCAGTTGACATCTGATTTCAGGGCTAGCAGCAAACAGATCTAGTGCTGACTGTGTCTTTGCTTTGTAGATAGATAAAAAGGAGAGACAGCCAAAAACGCTGTTCAAGTCAAAACTCAGATTTATATCTATAGTAGCATCTGTGAATTTATTAAGTCTTGGGGTTTTTTCCTCATATTTTGAGTACTGAGTACATATGAGGTTTTTTCCTCATATTTTGAGTACTGAGTTATCTGAGACTAAATTCCCATCTTATTGGTACTATATAGTGTTACAGAAACCTGTGACACTCTTCAGCTGTCTTACAGAACTCTTCTATATTCATGTTTTTCCCCAGGTTACTTTACCAGTTTATCTGAACTTCACTCGTGCTGATCTGATTTTCACCGTCGACTTTGAAATAGCCACCAAGGAAGATCCCCGCAGCTTCTATGAACGTGGTGTTGCAGTTCTCTGCACTGAGTGATCAAATCTATTTTCGCTGGTTAATGCTGTAGTAAGTGTCAGTCTTCTATGTAGTGCTCACCTGTACTTTTTTAATCAGGGTAGGTTAGCAGATGGATTTGTGTCAAGTTGGCTGGAAAGGTGACGGTGCAATGGGAAGCTGATAGGCCAGAGAGATTTCTTTGAAGGAAGATTGAATGAGGTTTTTAGAGGGTTATTGGTAGATGTGATATTTGATGGATTATGTTATATTAAATAAAATATATAGCAAAAGTTTTGACCATCTGTTTCTGTTAATCTAATTCTTAGTGATGATTTTGGTCTGGAAAACATACCCATGATCTTTTCAGAGAATAACTATGAATTGCTCTTCAATCTAACTTCCAGGAACAGGAACCTTGGAATGTAAGTCTGTAGTGCAGTAAGACACAAAATCTGATATCTGCTGTGACAATCAGGCCGTTGCATTAATTACTTGCAATGGACTGGGTCTTACTTGAAATAACCTGCTACAACACATTGAGAAGCTGAAGCATCCTGAACTATACTTTGTTGTCCTATTGACCCCAGAGCTTCCTCTTTCTTAAACTGCTTTTATGGTGAAATATGTCTCCAGATTTGTCTCAGTAACCCAAGAGCAGGCTATTAAATGCTTACACAAGGAGTTACAGTATTATTTGAGACTCTTACATGTGACCAACCGTTACTAAATTAGGAAAGCTGAGAGTTCCTACTAACTGCTTGAGTTGCTGTAATGGTTTGGGCATTTGCTTGCTTTTTCTGATCCTGAATTTGTTGGCTAAGCATTTCTGCCTTTCTGTTCATCCTCTCAGAACAGCTGCCCTCTCTGACAGTGGCTAAAGTCGAGTGTTCAAAGACATGTATGAAGAATGCAGTACACAGCTTTCTAATCTCAAAACTGAAATTCTGGGAGCTCTTCCTTCACTGATTGCTCCTATGAAAGCAGTGACTTTCATCAGCTCTGGTATTTTTCTGTGATAAGGGGTTCTATAGTACAAGCCTGGCCTGGGAAGAAAAATTGCTATCTCAGTCTGCCTCACATACTTGTTTTGGTCAATGCTTGCTGTTTACTAAAACAGAAATCTGCTGTCTGCCCTCTCCCTACTGTTTTGCAAAGTTAAGCCCTGAGATTAAACTGTCCTGGTTTTGTTATTTTACAAAGTGTGAATCCCAGACCAGTGAATCATGTGCAGTTTAATAATCTTTGTGCAATTCTTACACAGTTGTGAGGAACAGAGATGACAACTGTATACATTGTGATCCAAGATGAGTTGTAACTATAATGCCTTTGATTTGTCTCAGCCTCTGTGAGAGACTTTGCTTTCCAGCCCCAGAATATATCTGGAACTGGTATTAATGCCTCCAGAATAGTTTCAATTATATTGTACAAAAAAAAAGCACTTCCTGCTAGCAGCATGCTCTGGGTACCAGTGGCAGTACGAAGTATTAGCTTAAATGAAGAGCTGGCTGTTGGCAGCTCCACTGAACATGCACCTCCCTTTTAGCATCTGCTGTTTGTGCCCAGCTCATAGACCTGGGCTGTGGTACCACTTACAGCTACTATTAAAACTCTGCCTAAACCAGTTCCACCTACTGGCAAACACTGATGGGGAGGGCAAGAGTCTCAACTATCCTGGAGCTTGAGCTTCACACTCTTCAGCTCTTCTATGTTAACTTCTGCATTAGGCCTGAATTAACAAAAGGTGCAATTTCAGGTTACAGGTTAATCCACATCTGGATTCTCATACTGAATAAATGTATTCCAATGAGTAGATACTGTCCTATGTGGCTACCTTTCCACTTACTTCCTCTCCTGTTGTGTTTTTTCCATGCTGTGTGAAACAGCTGCTTTAAGTTAAATCCTCTTTAGGTGAGTTTAGGGGTTTTGGCTGCAGTTTGAAAGTCAGGGGGTTCAGTTTTATTTAGCCTCAGCCAATGGGGCTGAGAGCTAGGGTGTCTAATAGCTAGGACTTAAAATGAGGGGCTTGGCTGCCTCACAGTGTTGTATTTTTAAGCTTTTCACACATCTTCATTCCAGAGAGAGCTGTAGCCTAGTTACAGTACACACAAATCCATAGCTGCAAGTGGTTGGTTGTTGGTTTGTTTGGGGTTTTTCAATTAACTTCACAGTTTTCACTGCAGCCATCTTTGCCTCTGAACAAGTCAAGGGGCAACCACTGTAGCTTCTGTCTTGGGGCAAAAGCCTCTGAAACTTACTGTTTAACCACATATGTTCCAAGCTGATTAAAAACCATTTCCAGCTAGGGCAATAAGGATGAAAGAGAAGTTGCTTTAATAAAATATATACACAGGTTCAAGGATGCAATTTTAGCAGTTAAATAATATTTTGAATGGCTTTCCATCCTATGAAAGAAACTGGAAACTAAAAATCTCTGCCAGTTGTACAAAAACAAGTTGCTGGTACTAACATCTTTCAAGCCATCATTATTACCTTCATAGTTAGTAGTTCCCCTCCCACACAAATGGACTACCCAGATTCTAAACCTGATTAAAGAAATTACCATACAGGAAAGAGAGATCAGAGAGACAGTCTTTGCTCCCTAACTGGCCTCCCATCTGTGGGCACCATTCCTGCAGCTCCTGAATGATTGCTTTCACTAAGCAGCTCTGAGCTCATGTGTTCCACATCACATTGTAAACACTATTCTGGCAGCTACACAGAAACTGCCCAAAACATTGGTCAAACAAGGAAGGAGCAGCTGCGTTAATAGCAACTAGACAATTTCTCCCCCCTTTGAAGGAGAAAATGAATGCTGGATTGCCAGTAGTTGCAGTCAGTTCAGCGTGATGCAGTTCAGCTGCTGGCAGTCAAACCTGTATCATTCACCACTCCGAGGGGGGTCAGACACAGCAGGAGCCAAACATGAGTGAAGCAGGTGCCAGACAAACCGTAGCTGTTGGAAGATAATTGCAGCCAAGGGTCATTCTTCTTTCCCTGCTGACAAACCTTTGTCAGTGTTGGTGAAATTGCACTGAAACTGAGCAGCTGCCTCCGGGTACTGCGCACAGGAGCTGGGGCTGCTGCTTCCAGAGGACCTGGGCACCAAGCTTGTCTGTCGTGCTGTGGATATACCTTTGCTCGTTTTCACTGGAATTGCCACACGACTTGTTTGATTCAGTTTTTCAGGTGGATCTCAGAGCTTACTGTACAGTGCAGTGCATTTGTAACAGGCTTGAGGCAGCCTGGTTAGTTCAGGTACACTCTGCAAAAGAAACCTCTACCCGAATGATCCTTCAGAACAGTCTGTCCAATGATTTATTCATCCCTTAGATTAAGTTGTACAGAATTTCTTTCTCTTTGGTTTTTCACTAGCACCCTCTGGAGCAGGAATCCCTTGTTTTCTTTTAATTATGGGCTGCTCGGCCGTTGTGCCATCACAGTGAGCTGCGAGCAGGGGCTGTGGAGCAGTGCCAGCCGGGATTGCAGGGAGATCCGCGGAGACTGAAGGGTTAACAGCCCTCGGTGAGGAGTGGTCAGGTGTCAGCCCCGCGGGGGGAAACGCTTCTGTGCCCGGAGGTGTCTGCAACAGATCCTGCTCCTGGCCAGGAAGCTCCAGGGCTGCTCTGCAGTCATTTACTGCCTGAATTTCACTGACATTTGGAGGATTAGGGAAGGATTCTTCATCTTCTGAAGTATCAGCATCTTCCAAAGGCACTGCTTTTGAGGCACTGTTTCTCCATGGTGCATCTTTCATACCACAGTCAGTGTGAACAGATGCATCTTCTGAATCACCATCATAAGGATCTACAAACTAAAATAAACATCCCTAAACACGGTGGATGATTATTTGTCCTTAAAAAGAAAACCAAACCGAACAAGATGCAACATACAATGGACTTCAAAATCCCTTTCAACCTAAGTCACAGACTTACTGTGGAAGCTTTTCTGTTTATCCACACACACCTACCTCTGTTTTAGTTTTTGGATGCTACACCAAGAACTGTATAATACCCAAAACCTACTTGTAGTCCCCTGGATTCCTTTGCTTTCTTGGGTCCTCCAGCAAGTGGGCTAGGCACAACCTATTTAAGAGAAGTTAACATAGGTTTATAAGGCACTTTCCCATAAGTTATCAAATGAAAAACAGAGAAGGTGGAAATCCTAGAGAAGAGGAAGCCAGATTGTCACTTTGCTAAAAGACAATAAAAAGTGTGTCTCAGTCTAACTTTTAAAGGTTTGGTAAAGTTAGCCTAAAATAGAGTTAGGGTAAGTCTTAGTGCACTTAAAGCATTGCATTAAAGAGAAAAATTAGTAATTACATGCCACCAGAAAAAATAAACCAAACCAGCACTTAAATAATAGTAGTCAGGATACAGTTTAGAGACCTTCCTTCCCACTCAGGTCCCTTTTTGTTCTTTCACATGGGGATGATTTGAAATCCTGAAATAGTGCTTAGAGTCTGGGCCTAAGGAAAAAAAAAAGCCACTTAGGGAGACTCCCTTTAGAGAGCAAACCCCAGGTACCAAGTCTAACAAAGGAAAATAAGTTAACAGCAAGGAAAGTGGGAAAGTTCTTCTTGAAAAGGATCCACCACAGGTGCTCAGAGAACACCCTGCCACTCAGTGCTTTTTCCAGTGGGATGGTGGAGAACTGAGCACAGCTGAGACAAAGCAAGGTTCAAGAATCTGGGCTCAACAGGAAACCAAAGACTTTTATCAGAGGAGCTGAAGTCCAAGCCCATTTGTGACCATGTGTTCTTGTGCTGCTTCAAGGACAGAGACACCCCCACAAAGCCCTTCTGCTTCTCCAAAGAACACAGAAATCTCCCAGTCCTGGCACCTGCCTCAGCACCCTTGGTGAGAACAGCCAGCTCTTTGTTCAGGCTGGGACCTGTGTGAGCTCCTCTTCCACCCTGCCCAGCCATCACACAGCTGGACTTCCAGCCTGGTTTCTCACAGGAAAACAGATAGCTCCAGCCTTGCCCTTCCTTTCTGGAAGGTGAAGTGGTGGCAGGCAACTTGGAGAACTCCCAAAGCATGGACCAACAGTGAGCATCAAAGCCAAAGAGTTTTACCCACAAATTATTTTGTTCTCCACTTGAGCATCAGGTCGTTATTCATCAGCACTAAACACACTGGTTTGACAGAACAATGTTCAACAATTTACCAATATCCGTAACTAACTGCCACAGCAACAGAGCTGCTCTTGATCTCCTCCAAAAGGGACAGTCAGAAGGTAGAGGTTCTCCACCCAGAGCTGTAGAAATCTCACTGGACCAGAGCTGCTGAAACTTAAACACCAGGAACGTCTCAAGTCAGCATTTGTCTGCCTAAAACAGTGTCTCTTTCCTGCCTCACCTCCCTAGAATCAACTTTTCTAAAGTTAATAACAGCTGTAAGAAAGAGCCCAATAGAAAGGGGAGTATTGGCTTTGGGGTTGTTTTGGGTTTTTTGCAGTCACAAAATCAACAACCCCACAACATGCCTTGGGTGCTCCCTACTGAGGCTGAAGGAAGAGTTGGATACACATCAGGGAATCACATCACCATCAGAACACCTCAGAGTCAGTCCTTACCTCTGCCCTGGATTCAGACTCAGACTCTGTGCTTGACTCCACTGTGCACTTCTGCTGCAGAGGAGGGAAAAAAAAGAAAATCCACTCAAAGTAGAAGTTACTGCAGCTTCAGGCTGAAGCTTGAGTTGTAGTACCAGCTGCAGGTGCTGAGTTTCTCTAAAGCTTCCCCATCTGAAGCCAGCTCATCTTCCCAAATATCCCACAGCTGTGGTGCTGGTTGCGTTGTGCAAGTGAGACATAAAGGAAAATAGAAGCCTCTCTCATCACTCCTCACCCCCAAAACCACAAAGAGAAGCAGTCCTGAACATGCCTCACACTTGCTAACAATGGCTATTCCAGGCTTGTGAGTGACTTCACAAAACATTTTTTAGTTTGCACTGTGGTTCTGTTTGTTTCTTTGCATTTGGTAACCCTACAGCTCAGAAATGTAACTGCAGATGAATGACTTAAAACACCCTCATCTTTTCTAAAGCTCTTGCTTAGAAAGAGACCGTACAAACAAACAGCTCCCCTTGTCCCCAGAGGGTAGCACACAAGTGGAGGAGTTACCTCCATCCCTCCCATTTAAATTAATTCATCCACACCTGTTCTTCATGCAATCTTTTCCAGCCAAGGCAGCTGCACCATCAGGCCAACAAACACTTTCTGAATTGTATTTTAATAGGCAGGTAGATAAGTAGCAATTAAAAAAGTTACCATGTATTTTTGTGCCAGTCTTTCCACGCAGTCTGGGCTTTTAACAGACTCTTCCTTTTCCTGAGTATCTACTGAAACAGGTACAGGGTAGGAGAGCACATTAGAGACAACCTTCTCTGACATAAAATGCCCAGACATGGCTGCTCCCTTTATGCTAGAAAAGTTGATCAGTCCTTCACATAGTCAATCAAAGGCAGCTTCTGTTTAAAAATAAGTAAGAAGCAGCCACTGTTTTCTACCATAACAAGACTTCATTCATTGGTCCTTCATACAGAATGAGGAAAATATAACTTTTTTAATGGAGCTTATACCACACCATTGAGGGTTTTTTCCACTTTTCCTTTAGGCAGTGCAAGCTTTCTGAATCCTTAAAGAGGTATTTGTGCTGAAGACACCCAACCAGACTAGAGGGGGATAAATGCAAAGCTGTGCCATAAGCCAGCCCCCTGTTCCAGTTCCCCATTCCCAAAATTCAGTCCCTGTGCACTCACACATCCCCTTCCCCCCCTTCAGGGCTCTGTCACAGGGGCTCCCTCCCTGCCGTACCCTCCATGGCCGGCCCAGCCTCCCGCCTCTTCCTGCGCTGCTGCCTCTTCCCAGCCGAGGCCATCGCTGCCCCAGCGCCTCCCGCCTGCCCGGCTTTATGGGCTGGGCCCGCCGCCTCCACCCTCACACAGGCCCTGCTCAACCTCCCCCACCTGGAGAGCTGCTGCTTCCCAACACGGGGAATTCAGCAAGAAAACTCGAGAGTGAAACCCTCCCGTGAAAGAAAATCCTTTGTGCCACTGCAAGGCTCCAGGCTGCTCTGCAGCGGCGCTGACCCTGTGGGGCCTGCGCTCCTTTAGTCACTGCATTGCCCATCTGCATATAAAACACACACACGTATATTATATATATATAAGTTTGCAAGGCCTGGTGCCCAGGGACGTGACTCTTCCCCTCTGCTCTCACCAGTTTATTTTCTGGAGCCCCGTTTCCTTCACCCAACCCTCAGGCCGACAGAAGAGCCAACAGCCAAGGGGAGCCCCCTCTTCAGAGGCAGCCGGGGACCAAAGATGTTTCTTCCTGTGATCTGCTGGATCTCCCCTGCAGCAGAGGGACAGTTGTAGCTGGACACACAAAGTTTTCTGAGCATCTTCTTAATCACTTACAATCCAGTACAGCAATTTTACTGTTTTTAAATACCAGGAACAGTATTTTTACTGTTAAGGTCTAGTATGAACTGCAGGTGCTGTTTGTACTAGAGCTAGGCATCAGGTTTGTTGTTCACAAAGAAGCAGATCTGATTTGACCCTTTAAAAGCCATATCTAGATTTCTTTTCTTTTTATAGGAAATGAGGAACTATGTTTTTTTCCAAATCAAATTCCTTTTCTTGCATTATCTCTTTCCTATCTGGCTTTCTTGCATCTTTCTGCGCAGTGCAGAAGGTACTACTGTATAAGAACCTCAGCAAAACATCTCACTCTAAAGCCAGCAGTGGGTTGTTGCTGTGAAAAGGCACCAGGAACAAGTCCCAGTGGGGGTGACAGTGACAGCAGCTGTACCAGGAGCAGCTCACAAGCCTTCACCCCATTTCTGCCTCCAGCTGAGCTAGACCCTGCTGCTTACAGCTCTTTTCCCCCTGACACCTGCCTTTTCATCTCCTTACCTTCTCTGCCCAGACTAAAACCATCTGATGATTACTCCTTCTCCTCAGAATCTCCAACCATTTTCAAAACACAGCAACCAAGAATCTCACTCACCACCCCACAGCACCTCCCACCGCTGAAGTGGGAGCTAAGGAGGTTGTGTTAGTGCCTGCAGCACCAGCTGAGCACAATGAGCACAAATGACCATCATGCTTCACCCAAATACAGGGCTGGGAGTCGTTACTCCCACAAAAGGCTGCCCAAAATTAGCTACGGGCTCTTTACAGGCAGCAGCTGTTAGCAGCAAGGCCCAGGCTCTTGGGCTTGGGCTGCAGATGAACGGTGGCTGCAAGGGAGAGCACAGCCCGAGGCCCCCAGCACACCTGGGCAGGGCCAGGCAGCAGGTACAGCCACACAGCACATCCCAGGGGAGATCTCAGGTGTCCCCCTCCCAGGGCACACAGGTGATGCCACCGCCCAGCCCTGTGGCTGCAGTGGGGACGAGGAGGTGGGCTGAGGATCCCAGAGGTGCAGCAACGCTCACTCCAGGGATCATTTCCCACTGCTCAGTGCTCTGCCTCTCCTCCTCTGCCTCCACTCGGCCTCACTCTTGGCCCTGCACAGAACTTGTGCCAGCCCCAGCAAGCTCTGATTTCCCTTGAGTCCAGGTTTCTCATGGTCTGGCTGCTCAGCGTAATGCAGGGAATTATTCAAAGACATCCAACGCATTCTAGGGGAAGAAATACTGGAGATAACATGCAAGTTTCACCTGAATGATTCTCCTAAATTAGTTTTCAAGAGAGGTTAAGACTTGTATCATCACTGACCAAGTGGAAAAATCTTTAGCATTATCACTGTAAATTTTAAATCCCAGTGTTACTAACTGGAAGAGATTTTCACCATTTTTTTAAACATTATGGAAGATCTGGTAGAATAGATTTTAGTCACAAGTCACTCATACCTTAGAGTCTCCCTTAGTTTTGATACAATACTGTTGAATCCTGTTTTTTGATACTGAGGTCTTGAAGCAATAACTAAATCTTGCTGAATGCTGCTCTTCTGATAACCTCCAAGACTGAACATCACAGAAGGAAGCCTTTTCCTGCTGATCATTGCTTCTATCCCCCACACAGCAAACTGGAAGTCAATAGTGGTGCACACCTAGGGAACTGTAACTCCCTTTCTGCATCTGGCTTGACGCCATGTTTGCTATAACAGCAGCACATCCATCACTGCGAGGGGTGATGGAACACCGGGACATCTCACCCAGGCTGAGCTAACAGCTCCTGCTTGAGATCAAAGCACATCTCACACAGTCCCCAGGCAGGGCTTGGGGGAACCACAGCTCCCGCCCCACTGGCCAAGGAAATGATGTCCTTGCTTCAACAGTGCTGCCTTCACTGACATGAAGGCACCAGTCTGCACTTTTATGAGGCACCCATAATGGGAAATGATTCTGGACATTTCATGTCATGGTACAGAATGGGACGTGTGGAAGACAAACGCCCCACTTGTTACACCCGTTCAGCCTTCAGCAGCTGTGTAAGCAGCACTGAAGCAGCTGATTTTCATATCCATCTTCTTGTTTCTCATCTTTGATACAGAATTCAGATTTGGAGCTATGTGATCACCTCAGTCTATTGAACTGACATGTAGGAACACCAGCGTGAATTCCTCAGCTTGCAGGGTATCCACAAAACAGGGGTTGGGCTCTCCCTGCCCTAAGTGCTGCTTTGACATAAACATCTCCTTACAAACCACAACTTGTGCAAGCTGTTTTGGTTTGCATGAAACCGAGTTTAGGTGAAATACAGTTAGCACCAGAAACTCCATCTTCTCACCTTACTACAGAAAGAACACCAACACACCATTGTAATATATATGTGAATTATTTTATACTGGGAATTCCTGCATCATGGAGCAGAACAGACAGAAAACCTGCAGGGCAAGCTGGTCAGAATCCACCCCTTAAACCCACCCCCGTCCCAAATCGGTTAATTGAATTTTGAGACGTTGTACCAAATACAATCTGCCTGAAGCAAAAGGGCACCCAACAGGCACCAAGGCCAAACTGCTGAGTGGAGCTACTTAAAAAGCATTTGATTTCCTCTTTGCTACTCCAAGACAAATGCCAAGAAGTGCAGAATGCAGCGCAGCCACCTAGTTCCCTGGCAGACTGTGTGACGTGCTACTGGCAACTGCCCAGGTAAAGTTCTTGATTACCTCCCAGCAGCACCATGGAACAGGGCTGCAGTTCCATTCACCCAGACTTCACCGCAATTGCTGAGCCATCCACATGAATGATACCCCAACTTGGAGCACACCACTTTTCCAGAGACCCTTCCTGCTCTGCTGTGGCACTGGTTGTGTAGTGGGATCACCAAGCACACCCTATACCACTACACATCAAGCAGGGCAGCAGCTGGAGCTCAGGATTCAGAGCAGCAACTCATGTGGGCATGGGCATAGCAATTTTGTTTCAGTGTGAACAGACAAGTCAGTGACACAGCTCAATTCTTAACACTTTTATTCTTACAGTTCTAGGTTTGAACTGTACATGCAGAGGAGCAGTTTTGTTTCAGAGTGAACAAACAGACAAGTCAGTGACACAGCTCAATTCTTAACACTTTTATTCTTACAGTTCTAGGTTTGAACTGTACATGCAGAGTTGCCTAAGTCACAATAGAGATTTACAGTGGATTCTATTCTATGGTAGAGTGCAATCCAGAATCCTTGAACAGTATAAAAAACAACTTTAAACATCAAGACCTTGTTAGGAGCAGAAGGATTAAAGCTTCCCCAAGAGATTCAGCTCTCCTAGATACCTAGTTACTAGGTACTGTATGTTAGACACTGAAGAACTGAAGAGCTGTGTAACACTAAACAAACTTGAACACCCTGATGTCTTCCTATCTTCGTTACTTCTTTCCACATTTCTGGCAATTAAGAATAAGTCAAAAACCCTGCCACCTGCAACCAGCTAATACAGACAAAAATAACTACTCCTTACTTGCCTGTTTAGGGTTGTACAGTGTTAAAGAAAATATTCCCTCAATGGCCTTTTTATCTCACATCAGCTGAAAAAGCAATGTAACAAAAATAAAGGTATAACATCTTCGAAAATAAATATAAAGAGGGAATGCAGACAAAGTGTCAAAGATTTTTTTTGGCAGGTAACATTCATAATATACAAAATATAACTTATTCATATTAGCCAAGGAAACATTCATGAGTTCCGGTGAACTCGCTTAATCCACCTCCTCCATGCGTGATGTGTCATCGTCTCCTTCAAGAGGCGGCATCTCCTCAGTGACTGCTGGACTGGCTTCTTCTGCAGCAGTGTCATCTTCATCGATGCCTGTGCAGGAACACACAGCCATTAATGCTGGCAGACAACCCAAAGCTTTCATCCCCACAGTACCCCAGCCACCTGAGGGTTCGTTTTCCACACTACCAGGCAGGACCAAGACAATACACTGCAAGTGCACGGGAGCAGGACAGGTTCAGCAACTTACCCAGCCCAAGTTTGATCATTCTGTAAATGCGGTTGGCATGTGTCTGAGGGTCTTCTAAGCTGAAGCCAGAGGACAGGAGTGCTGTCTCATACAGCAAGATGACAAGATCCTTCACAGACTTGTCATTCTTATCAGCCTCTGCTTTCTGCCTCAGTGTTTCGATGATGGAATGATCAGGATTAATCTCCAGGTGTTTCTTTGCTGCCATGTATCCCATTGTGGAGTTGTCTCTTAATGCCTGAGCTTTCATGATCCTCTCCATGTTGGCAGTCCAGCCGTACGTACTTGTTACAATGCAGCATGGAGAAGTAACTAAACGATTGGACACAACAACCTGCAGAGGGAATACAAAGCCAAGTTTGCAATTTAAGCATTTCAACAAGTACTACTGACTTACCCTAAATTCATTTTAGACTGACTTTTACACACAGGTAAACCAAGCACTACTTTTACCTTTTCTACTTTCTTTTCAAGGATATCTTTCATTATCTTGCAAAGATTTTCAAACTTTGCTTTCTTCTCCTCCTGTTTCTTTTTCTCTTCCTCATCCTCTGGAAGCTCCAGACCCTCTTTTGTTACAGAAACCAGGGTCTTGCCTTCGAATTCCTTCAGCTGCTGCACACAGTACTCATCGATGGGCTCAATCATGTAGATCACTTCCAGCCCGTGTTTGCGGAGACGCTCCACAAAAGCGGAGTTGGCCACCTGATCCTTTGTTTCACCTGCAACAAACACCACCAGAGATGAACCTCAGCACTAACAGCAGCTTGTTCAGCTTCTGCAGAGCCTGTACAACACCTGTGCCACGTCCCAACCACAGGAAAAGAAAGGGCACCAACAGCCCCAAGGGCACTCAAGCTGTTTAAACTGACACTCCAGCATTTAATACTCTTAACTGCCTTGGAAATACTCCTAACTGCCAATTTCTATTTCCTGGAAACCCAAGTAAAAAACACTTCCCATTCCTGCCAAGCAAGGGAACTGGGAACCCTGTAACAGCAAGGTAAACCTACACATGGGTGTTGGTCTTTCTGACCATTTCAGGTCCCAACTCACCAGTAATGTAGTAGACATGTTTCTGGTTTTCCTTCATCCGAGTGCAGTAATCCTTCAGAGAAACCATCTCATCACCAGAGGCAGATGTGTAGTACCTCAGCAACTCTGAGAGCTTCTTGCGGTTCTGCGAGTCCTCGTGGATGCCAAGCTACAAAAAGCAGTAAGAAAAATCACTAAGAGATTCCTTCAGGGAAATACTCAGCTGTGGTAGTTTAGTAGCTCAGGTACAACTGCAAGTATCAGCACTGTTCAGCAGAAAGGCTACAAACCTTGATGTTCTTGGAGAACTGCTCATAGAACTTCTTGTAGTTCTCCTTGTCTTCAGCCAGCTCAGTGAAAAGTTCCAAACACTTCTTCACCAAGTTCTTCCGGATCACTTTCAGGATCTTGCTTTGTTGCAGCATTTCACGAGAAATATTCAGAGGTAAGTCCTCAGAGTCTACCACACCTCTCATGAAATCTGCAATACAACAGAATTACCTTTGTTAGTCTCAAACAAATATTACCAGCCACTCTATCTACATGTGCCCCTGCCCATTACAAACTATCACTTTGTTTCTACAGAACTCCAAGAAACATGAACTAAGCAACACTTTTAACTGCTTAACAGCTGTTCAGAACTGCTATCTTCTGCCTCCCAAATTTCTTTACATACAAAAGGAAACTACAGAATAGCTAAGCAGTCCTTCTAACTCTTCAGGAAACACTTAGCACAGAATTATACTCACTCAGATATTCAGGGATCAGTTCCTCACAGTTGTCCATGATGAAAACTCTGCGCACATACAGTTTGATATTGTTCTTCTTCTTCCTGTTTTCAAACAGATCAAAGGGTGCACGCCGTGGGACAAACAGGAGAGCTCTGAATTCCAGCTGCCCTTCCACAGAGAAGTGCTGTGAGAAAACAAGACGTTTGTTTTAGTCAGTTTGTCTGGTTCCAGTGATAACCACTTAACAGCTCCTCAAACGCAGAACACAAACTGCAACCCATGGGAGATCACATTACAGAGCAGCTGAGACTGGTGAGGAACAAGCACTTTTCAGGCAGACACTCTGAATTAGTGTTGTTGTGAGGTCTGCAGACCAATTCAGAACACATTCAAGCTCCTTACACAGTATGCTGAGAACTAGAAAGCAAATGTGTTCTTATAGCACTTCCCATCATCAAACAAAGGCACAAAACCTTTTCGATGATAAATTACAAACCTAATCAGTTTTTATATTTATATCTAACCTAGTTTCAAGTTCAGTTAGACACGGTGACTAAACTATTCAAATGGGAAGGCACCTGCACTTCCTGACTGCAGGCTCAATCCAGACTGTGAACACCAAATGCACAATGGATCAGTTTAGCAGCATGTTAAGCAACCTTCCAGCTGCAGTGCTCTATGTTATAATTTATATATATTATATATATCTATATCTACAGATACAGCAACTGTAGCTGTGTCTCCAGAGAAAAACTTACTTTGACAGCCAGGTGGTCTTCCCAGTCATTAGTCAGACTCTTGTAGAATTCTCCATATTCCTCATTGGTTATGTCATCGGGATTCCTGGTCCAAATGGGCTTGGTCTTGTTGAGCTCTTCGTGATCAATGTACTTCTCCTTAATCTTCTTCTTTTTCTTCTTATCTCCATCCTTCTTCTCCTCTTCTTCATCAGAGCCAACATCCTCAATCTCTGGTTTATCTTCTGTCTTTTCCTCCTTCTCTTCTTTTTCCTCTTCCTTTTCCTCAGCCTCATCATCACTCACCTCCTTATCACGCTCCTTCTCCACCTACAAAACAGCATCAGTACTTGAACTGCAAAAGCTGTAACTGTAGTAACTAACAGTTCTGAAGTACCCCTTGCCTCACAAAGCCAGAAAACTCCAAGAACATGGTGTCAAGCTCTCCCTCCTACACTCCAAGGACTCTCGCTCTGGGTGCTGACTCAAGTGGTGGTGTTTCCACGTGCTGTGAGCCAAGTTCTTACTGCTCAGTTTCATTACACTGAGTGACTCCTAGCAACACACCTGGAGTAACTGTTTGGATACTGCTGGCTTAGAAAATGTTGGTGTTTTTAACACAGCCCTGTGAAACACAACATTAAGTAACAGAACAACATTTCCCCACAGCTTCCTCTATGTAGCATCTAAGAGATGCTAACTAAACTAACCAAACAAAGACTGACTGCTCCTCACGTGAACTCCCACTTGCTAAAGTGACAATTCTGATTTAGCACTCCAAGTGAGGTACATACAAAGAGTGTAATGGGGTAGCCAATGAACTGGGAGTGCTTCTTCACGATTTCCTTGATGCGCCGCTCTTCCAGGTACTCGGTTTGATCCTCTTTAAGATGCAGGATGACTTTTGTTCCACGGCCCAGAGGTTCACCTGGAATGGAGTTTACATGTTTTACTTTGCTGTAGCAGAGCAGATTTAATCATTAACTCTTGAAGAGCCACACTGCTCTACCAGCCATTTTTTCACCTTAGCAAAATTAAGCCTATGTATATATAAACACCCTAGGTTATGCTTTCTCAAGTTTACTGTATTTATTTCAAACAAGCTTCAGAACATGTCTACTACTCTGTTCAGAGCCTTTAAAGACTCTGCATACAAAGTTGTTGAGGCCTTACAAAAACTTTTCTGTGTGTGAACTTTGAAAACTTAATGCACCATTTACCTGGGCATTGCCTACGTATCAAATTACGCCAACAGAAATTACAAGATATGACCTGGATGTACCTATGCCTGATGTGGCACATTACTTGTACTAATTCCTTTTATCTCGTGTCTTTTCCAAGGCAGACTATGCACCATTGCCAAACATCTTTAAAAGATGAACACTGCAACACTCACCATTATCCAGTCTGACAGTGAAGGACCCTCCAGCTGAGGACTCCCAAGCGTACTGCTCATCGTCGTTGTGCTTGGTGATCACTGTCACCTTTTCAGCAACCAGGTAGGCGGAGTAGAAGCCAACACCGAACTGACCAATCATGGAGATATCGGCCCCTGCCTGCAGGGCTTCCATGAAAGCCTTGGTGCCAGACTTGGCAATGGTACCGAGGTTGTTGACCAGGTCAGCTTTGGTCATCCCAATGCCAGTATCCACAATGGTTAGAGTGCGATCATGCTTGTTTGGAATCAGGTTAATTTTCAGCTCTTTCCCAGAATCCAGCTTGCTTGGGTCAGTCAAGCTTTCATACCTTATCTTATCCAGAGCCTGTAAGACAAGAAACATGCTTTAACATTCCCTGACTAATCCTAGAGAATTGCAGTAAGTGTTAGAATTCACCAGAATATTTTTGGTACTTACATCTGAGGAATTGGAGATCAGCTCACGGAGGAAGATTTCCTTGTTGGAGTAGAAAGTGTTGATGATCAGAGACATCAACTGAGCAATCTCAGCCTGAAAGGCAAAGGTCTCCACCTCCTCCTCCATTGGTTGGTCCTGAGTTTGCACAGCTTCCGGCATCTGTGAAAGGAGAGGCAGGAGTTGAAATTCCATCCGGAACAGCTTACTTAACTATCCTCTTACAGGCAGTGACAATGGCATTCTGAGATCAAGTTTTTTAACTGCGTAGTTTCAGCACCAGAGAAACAAATACAAAAAAGCCCTTCCCAGATCTGATTTACAGGCAGTAACCATTCAGAAGTTTTAAGGAATGCAGAAAATAGATGACAAGACTTTTACTACAGGCTTGCTTTACACTCGTTTTACCCTGCAGCACCTAGGGTAAGACAAAACTGTTCCCTTAATTTAGGGATTCACATACGACTTTGATTTTCCTGTTTCATAGCAACACCCAAAATCTTTATTTGGACTATTTCTCTCTTAGCCGCATCCCCCTATTCCTCTGCATACACAGCTATGCCCACCCTGCGATATAGACACCGACACTGCTCAGCTTCTCCGGACAAACTGCGTTAATAAATCCTCGTCCTTCACCGGGCACAGCCGCCCCTCTGCCCCCCTTGCGGGAGCCAAACCCCAGCGGCGGCGGAGTTCATTCTCCCGAGGTCTGTGTCCCGGCCCCGCTCCAGCCGGGCCCGCCAAGGGCACCGCGCGCCGCCGGGACCGCGCCCCGAGCGCGCCGCAGCGCCCCCTGGCGGCGCCCGTTCCCGATCCGGCGCTACCCCCCCCCCATCTTGCACTCTCATGGCTGGGGGCCCATTCATTGCGAGCGAATCTCTCCGGCCACCCGGCACCTCCGCACCGAAGCGTGCTCGGCTCAGCCCCCCACAGCCCTCCCGCGCACGCTGCGAGGCGGAGGGGGCGCTGCAGCTGCAGCCCGGGACACGAACAGCATTCCCTGACCGCCCTCTGCGGCCCCCGCTCCGCTGCCATACCGGAACCCCCCAAGGAGCTGCTCGGTTTCCCCACCTCCGCCGCCATTCCTACCAGAACGCAAATTTAATAAGCTGGGTTCGGAATCATCACTCCCAATCTCCTTTTCAGCCACACTCAAACTGTAAGCCCAAATCACCTTTTCCAGGATCTAAAGAACCACAGAGAAAAGCAGGACCTGCGCCACGCGGCTCCTAGAGCACACCCCACCCCCACTCCCCACCAACTCCGAACGCGAGCCCCGCGCCCCGGGGCTCGGTCAGAAAACACTCCCTGCGCCGATCCACCGCCGGCTGCTGCCCCCACCGCTCACCTTGGCAGGGGGATGGGGCGCTGCTCTCCTCACTGCCGCTCTGACACAGCCCGCACGCTCCGCTGTAGGCTCTCTAGTGCGCGCTCCCCACAGCCCGCCCGATTTATATACGGCGGGATCCGCCTCCTTCCAGAACCATCGGGAACCTTCACCGCCGGCGCGGGGGGGCGCGGGGAGGGGGCCGCGAGGCGGGGGCGGAACACACCGGCCGAGGGGCGGGGCCGTGCCGCTAGCAGCCAATCGCAGCCGTCCGCGACAGGGGCCGCGGGGCCGGCGGCTGAATGGGCGCGAGCGCGCGCGCTCCCCGCGCCCCGCCCCTCTGAGCCCCCAGCGATTGGCTCGGCCGGGAATCCGGGGGGAGGGGGAAGCAAGAAGGAGGTGGGCGCATGCGCAGGAGTCGCGCGAGGCGGTGCTGAAGGGGCGGAGCCCGAGGCCGTTGCGCGAGTGCCGGATGACGTCACTCGCTGCCGAGCCCCGCTCCGAACGTCCTAGAAGGGGGCGGGGCCGGGGTCTCTTCCCCCCCACCCCGCTGAGCGGTCGGGAAGGGCTTGGAAAACTCGGGGTGCCCCCCAGCTCCTGCCGGGAACGGCCCGGACTGGAGTGTGGGGCTGCGGTTACCCTCTCTGTGTTCCCCTGCTGAACCCCTGTCTCTGCTGTGTGGCCGGTGCGCCGGCGTGCGGCTGTGCGGGAGCGCGGGGGTGCTCAGGGGTGCGGGGTGCAGGTGTGTGAGGGTGTTCAGGTGTGTGGGGTGCAGGTGTGTGAGGGTGCTCAGGTGTGTGAGGTGCGGGTGTGTGAGGGTGGGAGAGTGCAGGGTGTGGGTGTGTGAGGGTGCTCAGGTGTGTGGGGTGCAGGTGTCTGAGGGTGGGAGAGTGCGGGGTGCTCAGGTGTGCGGGGTGCAGCACTGTGTGAGTGTGGGAGAGTGCGGGGTGTGTGAGGGTGCTCAGGTGCGCGGGGTGAGGGTGGGAGAGTGCAGGATGCAGCACTGTGTGAGGGTGCTCAGGTGTGCGGGGTGCAGCACTGTGTGAGGATGGGAGAGTGCGGGGTGCAGGTGCGGGAGCATGCCGGACAGATTGCGGCTGTGCAGGTGTGCGGGGTGCTCAGGTATGCAAGTGCAGTTGTGCGAGCTCAAGGATTTAAGTTACTTAAGGATTTAAGGTGCGGGGGTGCAGGAGTCCCGGAAGGTGTGCGGCTCTGTGTGTGCGCGGGTGGAGGTGTGCGGCTGTGGATGTGTGCGGCTCTGGAGGTGTGCGGCTCTGTGTGTGCACAGGTGGAGGTGTGCGGCTCTGTGTGTGCACAGGTGGAGGTGTGCGGCTCTGTGTGTGTGCAGGTGGAGGTGTGCGGCTCTGTGTGTGCGGCTCTGTGTGTGCACAGGTGGAGGTGTGCGGCTCTGTGTGTGCACAGGTGGAGGTGTGCGGCAGTGCAGCCGCTGCTTTCCCTCGGCCGGGACGAGCGGCTGCGGGAGGGCGGCACCGCTGTCCCTGCCCTGCTCGCCGGGCAGGATCCGGCCGCGCTGCCGGGCGTAGCCGGGTGAATCACAGCTTAGGGATGCTGTGGTAACGCGTTTCGCCTGCTCAGGGAAAGCAACACCGGTTCTCACGCAGCAGGTATAAGTCTGCGAGTTAACAAAATTCTGCCTCTCGGTCTGTGCGCTTGCACAGGGTAAAAAGAGCCGTGGGACCGAAGCCAAGCGGCTCAGCAGACCTACATAGCTATGCAGTTACTTAAGGATTTAAGTGCTAATAGTAGACAACCGTGGTGTTGGGTTTGTAACAGCCCAAAGCCTGAAACCCGCTGGGGTTCTCAGCATGGCCTTTGCCAGTTCATCTGGAAAATCTCGGTTGATGTTCAAAGGGCACCGCAAGAGCCACCTTTGTACATACATTTACATATCCTGCATAAAGGCTTTGATATGTACACGTCTCATTATACCAAGCAGCTCTGTGATTGCAGCATTTAGCAAGGCGGGTATTTTTATATCCTGAATGACCTGATTGAGAGCAGGGAGTTAAATGCAGATCTTCCACATCTCAGGAGAATGATCTGCATCCCATGTGTTCCAGACCAGACTTCTAAAACTTTCCTCTTGGAGCTGATCCATTTTTGAGGATATAAATACCCAGAGAAGCTACATGTTAAAATTATGCACTGATGTAAGCATGAATTTAGACAAATCTCCTTGCTCTAAAGAATGGCTATTCATTTGAGGAATAAAAAGAATGTTATTTTGGTTGCAAAAACTCATCTCAGGTGCAACTTCTTTCCATTTTCTTTTGGCTCTTAGATGTGCCCCAGACTTCTATCCAGTTTAACATGTGTCTGACTTTGAGGAATTGAAGTTTAAGTTGCCTAACCTGCCCTTCTCCAAGTTGAGCAACTGAAATAGACTTGGTAGCATGAATTAATATTCCAATACTTAGATCCATTAACACATTTAATCAAAAATCCTCATGCTGTATTTCATATACTTTGCATTGGTTAGCCTGCAGTTTTAACCCAGACAAGCAAATCTGATTGAATTGGGGTCCACTGTTGTAGCATTCTGTTTTTCAGAGTTTTCAGTATTCTGACAAGAAGATACATCAAGTACACATGTAAAACATGTAGGAACACCAAAGAATTAAAATTACTGTTTGTCTTGCTACAGTTTCTGCAGTATCTGGATCAGTACATGCATTGGTGCAATGTCTTAAAGGACTTTGCTCTTCTCAGTCCTGGTGCTCCAGCTCTGACCCAAGCAATTGGCCATCCTGCAGGTTATTTAATTAGGTGGAAAAATTAATCGTGGTGTCAACAACATAAAAGGGTGTGTAAATGAGCTGCTGCTCAGCCCACAGGAGAAATCAGACTGTAAGGGTGAGGTTATTTGCTCCCCATTCTAAGCCACTGAAAAAGTTGGATTTCAGCCAGCGCTCAGGCTTGAGAGTTCTGCACTTATGTCTGGGTCACCTTCTTGGTGCTTACTTTGGCTGGTTGTTTTCTGTACTGTCTTCAAGTTGGATTTTGGGTGCTTCTCAGTGCATTTCTCTCACTTTCTCTCAAACACGTATGCCTGTATGAAGTGCCTGTGCACCAGAATGCTCTCCCGAGTTCCTTTCTTTGCACAGTGACTGATTCCAGTGATCCGACAGCTGCTTTGGCTGTCTGCTTCCATAAAGCAGCCTAATGGCTCTTTACCACTGCCCTAATAAAGTCTGACAGTTACACTCAGGCATAGTATGCAACTTTCATGTTTTTTCTTAGATTAAAAAATAGTTGTGGTATAGTATAAAGACTACAGGGTGTGCCTTTTAGGCTGAAACCCTCTTACATTCAGATTCCATTGACGGAATGCTTTCTAACGTGTATTTGCACCAAAGTAACTTCTGTGCTTCAGAGAACAGCTAAAGCATTGCAATATATGGAAATATAGTCCAAGCATTTTATCCAGCAATATCCTACTAAATTTGCTTGTGTGCTCTCCTTTTGAGGTGTCTAGAATTTTAAGGGTGCCACTTTTATAATAATATTCAAGATGTTTAATAAAGTATTTTCCTTTATAATCTCTCGATTATTGTGAGTCCAGTGATTCAGACTTATGTCTGAATATGTCATTTCAAGCTTGGGAAGACATGGAAGGTTTTGCATATGTCTGCAGGATCACATGCCTTTATAGTGTCTAATCTCCAGTCACATCATTCTGTTTTCTCTTTTGTGGTTGTGTTATTCAGCTTTCAAAAGCAGACTGATTTCTTTTGTCAAAATTGTTTGACAAGTGCACTGGGAGAATGTAATCTCATACCAAACCATCTAAGTTTTCCCAGCTCTGCTTAATCCAAGTTCCTCTGTGCCTGTGGAAAACACATATTTTCTTCATGACTTGTGAATAACCTGTGTTCTTTTCGTTCTGTTATGTTCTGTTACGCAGCAAATATAGACATTTTGTTCCTATGGTTACTCTGTTTTAACTGATCCCAGTTTTGTGTTGCTTCACTTTTCGGCAAGAAAAAAAAAAAGGACTGGTTTCTAACTTGGTTCGTGTCAGAGTTAATTTTGGAGGAAATTCTGAGCAAGGTAGATCCATTTTTCAACCAAGAGATTGTGCTGGTTTTCGTTGGGGTGGAGTTAATTTTCTTCACAGCAGCCAGCATGGAGTTATATTTTGAATTTGTGCTGCAAACAATGTTGATAACCCATAGATGTTTATGTTATTGCTGAGCAGTGTTTGGACATCATCAAGGCCTTTTCTGCTCCTCACACTGACCCCCATCAAGGAGGCTGGGGGGCACAAGGAGCTGTGAGGGGACACAGCTGGGACAGCTCAGCCCGACTCACCAACAGGACACTCCTTACCAGAAAGTCTCTGATGTGCATTTCCTGGTTTCCTAAGGATTAGTCCCATGCTTGGTCTCTGTATACATTTGCATCCTCATAGAATCTTTAGTTACACAATTTCATAGGACTCCTTGCTATGTGAAAGTTATAATATTTAAAAAGAACAAAGTAAAAGCTGAAAGGAAGGTATTTAATGTTCAAAGTGTTGAAATAACACACAGGAAAACTGGGGTTTATTCTTAATTCAATCAAAGGTTTTTTTCTGTGTTGCTGAATATTTTTTTTTGTTTTTTTATAAGCCACAAAGAAATTAAAAAACGTTTGCATAGAGAATTTGAATTCCAGCATTTAACTTAACTTCTGATTGTTTGGTGTAGTAGCCTTACTGCTTTTATAGCATTGCTTTAAAATTAATTTTGTTTGAGTTCTGAGTCAGTTTTGCCATGTTATCTCAGTGCTTCAGGGTTTACTGAAGGAAAACAAAACAGCACCAACTGAAACTGCTTAACATTAGATTTCAGAAGAATGATGTAAGTATAAAGATGTAGTAATAGATGTCTAGTTTGCTTTAACACATGGAATTATGCATGTAAAATCTGTGTTATCATAATGAAATGTAAAGCTGGGAATGGATATCTGTCTGAGCGAAGCTTCATGTTTTCTTAAAGCTATTTCCCAGGTTGTGTTCTTTTGTGCTTTCTCATTGCTTGCTGGAAGCTAAAGTGATCATAAGATCTGTAGGTCACAAAAAAAGGTGATTTGTTCTAGAAATAGGATCGATAGTCACTTAGAAGAAATATTTTTCTGGTGAAGAAGCTACTTAAGAGGCAAAGAACAAAATCGATCTCATACAATGTAGTTGTACTGAAGAACTGCAGGTGGCAGCAATAATTGCATGGACCATGGGCTGTGTGTACATGTTCTTTTTTCCTGCAAGTTTATGGTTCTTGAAGTATGTGTCAGGGACTGTGAAAACTGTCAGTCATTTCTCTCAGAAGGAATTCTAAAGGGACTTACTGTTGAACAAGGATATATTTGTTAGAGCAAAAGTTGACAGTTCCACTACTAACAAATGCCAATTATGTTTTATATATATATAACATATATAATATATTTGTATAGATATGTAAAGCTCAGCTGCATAGGAAAGATGAGAGAATGAGCATGGAAAGGCCTGGATTCATGGGAAAGTAATAAGGTCCCAGAATAATTGTTCAGTCTTATCATAAAGTACGTTATGTGGTGTTTGTTTGTTGGTGGTGTTAAATTAATAGGTTAACCTTATAAAAACTCAGATTTGATATTTTAAATTTTTCCTCATCTTAACATTCCCTTATGACTGGAATAAAATATATTTTCTTTATAGTTTTAGACCGTATATAATGTTTTACACTTTCCCAGAATAAATGCATCATTTTGTACTTCTTAGCTGAAATTATAGGTACAAATCAAGCACCATACCTGTGCCAACTGAGCTGTACAAGATACTTTGTCTTCCACCAAGGTAAAAGTGTTTCTTTCACTCTCTGGTTGTGCTCTTTGTTTCAGGAGCGTTTTATGATGACTGTGGTGCCTGTTTGTGGAAATGTGTGCAGTCTCTGTCTAGGATGGGACCGAAAGACCAGGACACAGTTACATGGCATGGAGAGTGACAGGGGAATGTCATGTCCATGAGAGCTCCCTTAAATCAGGAACAGTTACATAAAACTGTTAACTTTGGAGGGAGAACAAGAGGTATGGTGGCAGCTGTAACTTATTATCCATAGTTAAGAGCTTTGTTCTATTCATAGTCATAAGTTTCAATAGATCCTAATTCAGAAGGACAAGAAGCTTGGAGAAAAAGCCCTTCCAGACAGCAGAAGGTTTGACTAATAAGTCCCTAGACAAACAAAACCCTAGACTTCCCATGAAGATATTAAAAACAATAGTGATAGTAAAATTACATGGTTAAAAAAATAACTTAATAGAGCTCCAGTATCAGTGAGCATGGAAATAAACCTGACACTTTTTCCTCTGTACATACTCAAGTTCTAGGAGTAGAATTCATTATAACAGTAAGGGTTGGGGGTTTAGTACCTATAACAGCTGAGCACTGCTGCATATTTACTATCAAGGGTAGGCATGTATGGAGCACTTACATACCTTATTTTGTGTGCCTGGTAGATTTGGAGACAAAACTCTCCTTCAAGCCACCTTCTAAATGTTGGATACTACTGGTAATTATGTCACAAAAGATGTGTTCTGTACTTCAGTGACATTGTTGATGCAATAGCATTGATTTTGCAAATTACTGATGACGGATGACTTTTCAAAGTTGAATTAGGTGATTATGACATGAAAGAAAAGTTGATAGTAGCAAATAAATTTTCAATTCATTTTAATCAGAGGCGCAGAAGGTAAGTTCTAGTCCTGGGTTTTAAGCAGTTAAGAAAGATAATGTATTTTGGCATTAGGTAGATTTTCTGTAAAGATATTTTTGGGATCAAATTGCTCTGGTGACTTCAGCAAAAGGAAGAAGAATTATTGGAGAGGCCTTCATAGTTCGGGAGCACTTCCAAAGCATCTCCTTCTTTATAAGCACATTTCCTAGAAACTAAGAGAAAAAACCCTTCCTAGACAGGTTTGTGTTAGAAATCAGGGAAAGAGAGAGCAATCTGGTGTGGAGATCACACTTTCAGATTTAGTTGTGAATGGAATTTTAGTTGTGTAAAGAGCTGAGAAAGTAGGTTTACTAAGCAGTGGTAGCTGGAATCAGGGTGAACTAGGTTAAAGAAAATCAATTACACATTTTTATTGAGGATACTGAGTAGGAAATAACCTCAATCATTCTACTTTAAAGAGGGCACAGAAATGGAAAGAATTGAAGAATCTTGCCAAACAACTGCTTAAATTTGTGCTAATTTGATAAACCTGATTCTAGAAAGAATTTGCATGGCAGACTTTTAGTTATTTACTATAAGTGTGAATTGCATCTCAAAAGTAGCTCTGGTATCACACAGCCAAATTACCTTGGATGTGACCAGTATGAAAGGAATTCTGTGAAAAAGATGTGTAAGAACCCTTGGCCAAGGCCAAAGAGGTGTCCAGGCAGAACACCTCACAGTCCAGAGAGCTGTGTACAAACTTGCTGTCTTCTTTCCTTCTGAAAGTCAAGGAAAACTTGGAAAAATTGGAAAAATTTTTATTATTGTCACCTTTGTAATTGTGCTGTGCTGCAATATCTGTGAAAAAATATTTGAAGTCAGCTATTCAGAATTCAGTATATGCTGTGTGCTATACTGTGAGTCTGCTACACACCTAGAGGTTTCAAATTTCATCATGAAGCATGTTTCAATAAAGGTTTTAGAGGTCATAGAAATTTAAAAAATCTGCAAGCTCAGGGTCCACATTTTTCAGGACGGGAGATTGTAAGCATTTAAAATACATGTCAATGAGGTTGATTTTTTCTAGTATTTCAACCAGGATATGCTCCTTAATTTGACACTCTACACTTGTCAAAAAAAAAAAAAAGGCAATAAATTAATTGAAATTTGTTCATATATTCTGGATAGACTCTTTTTTAATATTCCTGACACTACTTTCATTTTATTACCAAGATATTGATGGGATAAAAAACAAGATACTAAAATTATGGAGTCCTTTCAGATAATCACAGATTAAGGCTTAATAGCTATCTGTGATTAACACTCCACTTCAGCACAGTTTAATGTTATTTTCTTGCTGTGTCAGACAGATCAAAAGATTTATTTCTTGTGAAAAAACAGAGGAGAACTCTGTCTCCCAGCTTCCTCTCCACAAAAGAATGCTGGAAAAAAAAAGAATAGTAGCAGTAAGATATTCTGATTAAAGCTGACTGTGAGTAGGTACTTTGAGAAATTTTGTCAAGAGCTGTGTAAGTACTTGATTAATCATTACAAATTTATCTGTGGGCTACAGGAACCAGGCATAGTGAATTAGAGGGAAAAATCGGGTTTCATCTCTTTCAAGGAGATGCTTGCTGCCATACTGAGGCAAATCTTCTGATGTAACTTGTCTCTTTATGCTGAAATCCTGCTTTGCAGTCAGCTGAGCCGAGGGTATTCTTAGCCAGTTAATGCAGGTCAGTATAATGCAGCTGCTCTGCTCTGAAAGTAGGACAGACCACAGTTACTAGAAGTCACCAGGTTATTTCCTACCAGAGGGGTGCTGGTTAACACTTGCCAGGAGATACCTCTGCCTATTTCCCCCACATCACTGACAAAACAAAGAAGAAAACCCCTCCAGAATGGGTCTTTCAGCACTGTGGGGGTTGCGGTGACTCTTGTGATTGACGAATTTAAAACTGTTTCAGATGCTGACAGCCCAGGATTTCTTCATCTCTGCTTTATTTGGATTAGATATTTTTGAAAGAGTGAAAGTACTTGTATTTTGTCAAATCCAAGTTACTTTTTAAATGTCTAGTGTTTAAAATAAAATCAGCAAGTTCACTCTAACCAGTAAAGTTCTTTATTATAAAGCAAAACTATAAAAAAATTATGACAGAATGCATTTTCTCTTTCTTGTTTTGGCTGTTAGCCTAGTAGATCTACAAGGCTAAGTTGCAGGAAGGGACATCAAAAGATTGGGACAGTAAAAGAAGGGATTTTTCAGCTTTTCTTCCTCAGGGCATAGCTGCTCTTTCTAATGACTTACCTAAAATTGTGTTTCCTCAGACCATTTGTTCCAAATTAAATGTCTTTCTTGGTTGTGGTTCTACAGAACTGTTTGAGTTTGTTTCATCTGACAGAAATACAGTTCTGAATTTATACTAAGAATAACCATGATGGCTTGGCCTCCTTCTTCGTAGTTCAAGACAGAAAATTACAGAGGGGCATTCTTTTTCTAGAAACCTCTGCAAGTCACATTCCTGATATATTATTTAATTTGCATGTTATTTCCATCTTGATGAACTTCCCTGCATGTCCTTGGGTTTATATGAATAAACATAATTGCAGGTCATATGAGATGTATTTCCAACTCTGCTTTGCAGTTTTGTAGAATTAATTCATTAAATAATACTGATGCACCTGGCATTCAAAGTACCTTTCTAAGTTGCCTTCTGCTCATCTGTCCTCACTAGAGCCATAATATGTCTGGCTTAAAATCCAGAATTACTAGTTAGTCACTGCCAACCAGAACTCTTTCAGAAGCATCTCTAAAAACGTCAGGAGATTTCTTTGGCCCCAAAAGCACAGCTCTAGTATATATCAATATAAAATGCATAATCAGAGTTTATTGCTTCACCTGAATAATTATGATCTTCAGCTAGTAGCACATATTTTCATTGCCAAGTAGTCCAGATATTAACAAAAACCTGTACTGTGTCTTACTAAATTCACTAAGATAAATGTTATCTTTATAAGATTTCTTCTGGGTTGGTGGATGAGAAGCTCAGCATCCCGGCTGATACATGGTATAATTCTGTCCTACATAGGCAGTACTCTTTCAGAGCTCATTAGGAAAGCAAACCAAGAAATTATCACACAATAAAGAGTCCTTCTTGCAAATGTTAATTCTGGCAGTACAGAGACATCTTAGTTAATGTTGTACTAGTAGCATCTGGGAATGATGCAAGGACATTAGGTATGCAGCTAGTGTTTCAAAGCATGTACAATTAGCATCTCAAACAAGGCACTGACAAAGAGTGTAATTGGATAGCTGATGAATTGAGAATGCTTCTTCACAATTTCTTTGATTTGCCTTTTTCCTAAGTATTCTCTTTGGTCTTCCTTCAGATATAGGATAATCTTTGTTTTACAGTCATGTGGTTCCCCATGAAGGAAATTCATGTGTTTTAGTGACAGCACAAATGGACAAATAGTAATCTTTTTCTGAAATTAAGAGTTAATACAATTGTAATAAATTCTTAATCATCACTGACTACCTGCTAAGGATGAGCTGGTGTTCTATACCTGTTCTGTGCTCCAACAAATGGAACAACTAAAGCAATTATACCACTTCAATGTGTATTTCCCCCAGCTTTCAAAGCCCTCGTGAAGCACAGCAATACAACATATGCACTGCAAGAGGGAGTCTATAAAGCAGAAATTCATTGTTTGACCTTTCTCTTTAAATGTTACACATACCAGAAATGAAACATGGCAGTGGTGCTGTATTGTGTGATGCACATTCATTCTCTGCTGCACAAAGTTCAGTCAATGATTATTACCCAGCCAGGCAAATTTGCTGCTAAAAGTAGAGATCCTGTGCCATCAGACTGTGCACCTGTGCTCCCACTCTGCTCTGCACAATGTTCACTTCACTCTCACCAGCCATGAGACAGGGAGCAGCTGTTGACAAACATTTGCCATTACCAGTGGCAGCAAGAAGCTGGGAATGGAGGGGACTCTCCTACTGCCTGTCTTTGCTTTGTGACCACGGTCACGTTTGCAACCAGGAAGGCAGAGAAGAAGCTGACCCCAAACTGACATTCCCAGAGACACCAGCGCAAGCCACGCTTCTAAGAAGGTCCTCTGCTGGACCTCACAGTAGTCCTGGGATCAGCTTTGGTCATCCGTGATGGTCAGAGTGCAGTGGTGCTTGTCAGGCCCGACATTCCCAGAGTCCAGCTTGTTAGGGTCAGTCACAGCCTCAGGTCTCATTCTGTCCAGGAATCACAACCAAGGCTTGAGCATCCTCAGGGTTACAGTTAAGAATCTAGGCAGTGTTTTACTGGCTGAGTCACATTAATTGCCAGATTACTTGCAACCAATGATTTGCTAACTGCCTCCCTCAGAAAGCTTTTCTTGCTGGAATGGAAAGTGTTGATGAGCAGTTATTTCAGCCTGGAAGGCAAGAGTCTTGTCTTCATCCATGGGCTGATCTTCAGTTTGCACAGACTCAGTGTTAATAAGGATACACAGAGTTGAAACCTCACTGCATGTACACCCACACATACACTTGACAGTGGCACATGTGTTTTTAAACTGAAAAATACAAATAATTTGTCTTGAGAGCATAGGGCAGAGAAATTTAATTATTGTTTTAGACGTATCATTAATAATTCGGTATACATTTTAGATTTTTCACTTTTCCCTGATTTCTTACTTAAGATTAAAATAACATATGACGAATAATTGTTTAATCAAGAGGAAATCCATAGGCTTTTTAATATAGTCATGTTAGATTGTATTATAAAGTAAGAAAAGTCATCACAGGATTTGATTTATTTTCACAAATTAATTTTGCTTGTACATTCTGGGACA